TTCTCGTTAATCAGTTTATATTTATGAATGTATTTATACATACTTTTAAAAGTGTTCATATGACTAAAAGAAGGATAAGAAACACCATTTTCGTTTTGGAAATCAATTTCTTGACTTTCAAGACGAAAATGGCGCTCGAGGATCGTTTACTCTCTCTACGATCCACTCATCCGTTCGATGGTAAATTGGTACTAGCATATGCCAAAGACTCAAATCCACTCCATCACCATTGTTTGTAAGCAGCTCTGGAAAGAGGAAGCCATCGACATCCCTGACAACGAGTTTTCTGTTGGTACCTGCGGTGGCACTTTGGTTACTTTTAAATACCTCTGTTTCTCACGTAAAAAGCTAATAAGTAGGGATGAGGGGGGAGGAGAGGACAGGGGTTGCTTTGACTTCAGAATATTTAATTCTATGCCCAAGACAGTCTGTTGATATCAAATTAGTTTTCCGGTGTGGCAAACTTTCAACATTAAGATAGTACATGCATATTTTGACATTCGCCTCGTAATTTTTATAAAATTTGATTAATTTTATCTCTTGCTGCTGAATTCAGCAAAAATTAGTCCATTAGCGCCTTTTTGGGAAATTGATACTTTTCGATTAATTTTGGTACCTTTTTTTGCTAAACTTTACATCCCTCAACTCATTTTGTATCTTTTTTTTCCAAGGTGCTGATTTTGAAATCTCTAGGATGTCCTTCTCTTCCCATCGCCTTTAGCCACTGCTCAGAAATTAGCCTGTAAAATTAGTAATTTAGTAATAAGCAACAGAAAAAAAACCAGTTAACAGAAAAAAAAATGAAAGTCTCTGGACAAAAAGATATTCTGACCGTCGTTTTAGAATTGCGCCTCATCACCTACGTTGGTGGACCAGAACGATTTGACGCAGACGGAGGAACTGGACCGTATTGCGGACGAGGAAGTGCAGGGAATGTTACGTCGAAGTGAGCAGATTCGCCGGCGATTGCTTGAAGAAAGAAATATGCAGTACGTTTCTGGGCAACCTTGCTTTTTTCTGGGTTTCATCAGTTCCCCTGCATTTCAGCTTCCCCGCCAGTATTCAACAAACCACTTGTAACACATACTCTCACTAAAGTAATTATAATCCTAAATTTAAAAGTTTAAAACGCAGCAACTTTGAGTTAAGCTAGGCTTTCTTCCCCCGGGCTATTTCCTGCGCTTCCCTTTGATCTTATTAATACTCTACGCGCAAATTAGATTTCCCGGGGATCAGTCCAAGCGATAATTCCCTGCGAGCTGCGAAAGCGTTTCATATACTGTATAAATTTCGTAAATTTCGGGCTCGAATGCATGAGGACTTCTAGATAATATATATATATGTATATATATATGTATATATATGTACACGTATATATATATTATCTAGAAGTATATATATACACTGAACTTTCTGTGTTAATGAATGTGATGTTTAATCATATTTTCATAAAACCGTTCATCCTCAACAGGGCATCGAAAGAAATTGATGAGAGCATAGCGATGCTGCTAGAATACGCCGATGACTTGGATATGCTGCCGAATAGAGAATCACATTATCCAATAAGCAATGGAGCGCCTTTGAAGGTTTTTGTGGCTTATTAATGTTACCATAACATTAATCGTCTCTTCCCCCTAAGGATATCCTTTGAATTCGCAGGTTTTCGGATGTGTTCTGCTTCTTTACGTACTTTCGTGTATCACTATACTGATTGGCGCTATCCGAGCCTAGAATTGAAGAGGAGTCAAAAAAAAATCCTGGGTAAGCTCCAAAATAAGTGAATTTTTTTTTGAATTTTTTTTCTGTGAAAAAAAAACCGAAATTGCCCCCCCCCCCAACTTATCGGCTTCACAGCATTTTGTCGATATCCGAAAAACATCTTCATCAATTGATATCAAAGTTCCTTGCACTTACAGTGAACTGGGACTTAAAATGAATAAATTTGCTGAACAAATAACAGAAATTTCAATTCTTTGTAGCCGATAAAAGGTGTTCGAAGTGACGGACCAAAGACGGCTTCGCATGGATCTATCAGTTGTGGCGCTTCCAGAAACAAATCGCAGCCAGTAAAAAATCAGAACGGTAATTTTTTTGAAAATTTTTATGTTGATGTCTTGTTCAAGCAGTACGGATCACAACTGCTGGAACAGATCCACTTGCACGCAATGAATCATGCTATGAACTGCAGCTAAACCAAATCTTAAAGTGTTATGTTCATTTTTTCATTTTATAAAAAAATTATAGCTTAGACTAGTAACGAATACTTCAAAGTTCATGACATGTGCTATTTTACCCCTGTTTGCATTTAAATCTCTGAATTTGTTTCAATTTTTGTTCAAATTTCTTGTCAAAACATGACTTCGTTTGAAAATTTATTTTGGTTTTTATTTTTGCACTATAAACGTCAAATCAAACTGCAACCCTTCGAAAAATCGGATTGCGATTCGGAGAGGGACTTCAGTTCTCTCGAATTCTTTACGAAGATTAGTTATGAGTGAAGAAAGTCAGTTTAAAAATGCCACAGCAAGCAGGCGGCATTGGAGTTATCAGAAATACCGTACTTTTGCTACCCTTCTTCCTCGTCCTATCGTTTTCCAATACCCTTTTGTCCTGCTCTATCGGTCTTATTCCCTTCCGAGGGTTTTTCTTTTTTTTTTTTTTGCCAAAAAGACAAAATAAATCATATGTGTGTTGTAATTTGCAATACGCATAACTTCCCAATCGATTTCTGATTCGCTGTTTCATGCGATGTTTTTTGTAACACATAAACGCTAACAGAGACGCATGTGTAGCGTAAATACTTCTTTCGGTCCTGTTCAAATATACGCTGCTGCCAGGATTGCCTGCATAAAATCGGTATGGATATCCCGTGTCAAAGTGATATTGCTGGGATATTTCCGTACGCTGTGCCAGAATCTTTAATAAAATTGATCCGCATACCTCCAGTTAGTACCTACCGCTTATGCGATATATTTGCGCCAGTGTTTGGAAGTCGCCCGAGCGGTCGTTTGTCGTTTTTCCACGTACCATTCAAAATAAATGACATCGACTCGTTGTTAGCGAAAGGAACGACGTGCCTAACCCATTGGATTTTACTTTTTTGCATATTTGCGGCATTATTTATTTGACAAGCAGCCTCATTACTGATGTTCATAGAGAGTAATATACGCCATTTTTGCCGAACTACGACGTCAAAAGCAAGCTCCGTATGTCTTCCCAAAAGAATTGACCACACGGATAATCCCCTTGGAAAAGGTGAACTTCCTCGATGATCCTAAATAGCCCCCTCTGATGCCTTCTACTCTGATGGACAGCTTTTGCAATGGGAGAGACAGTTAAGAACTGATGGGAAATTCGCTATAACAACACGTGGCTACGTTTCAGAAACTGTTGTCTGAACAACTCCATTTGCGTATTTTTTTTTTTTTTTTTTTACAAAATTCTGCAAATTCTGTTCAGTTGTTGGAATTTTAATCTGAGTCTGTAAGTTAAATCGCAAATTTGTGATATGAGGTTTATTCTTGGTTACCCGTGGATTTTATTTTTCTCTATCAAAAAAATCGAGTTTGAATTTGCACCGCTCGCAAATTATGCACTTTTTTTGAATTAAATTTCATTAAAACTGTGCGTAATTGGTTATCAGCAATAAGTACACGTTTCTTTTCTGCACAGCCCATTCTTACAGAAAGTTGGCCCCAAGCAGACTATTCCTAGTCCTTCGCGGACTAACAGTTCCTGTTGGTTTATGGCTCCAGCAGATGCATTATTCTTTTAACATTTTTTCGAACAGCGAATCTTTCCCAGAAAAAATCTTTACTTTTCTATTATTCATCGTCCACGAAGCATTTTTATTTATTATGCACCAGACATTCGTCCACTGTTTTCCATCACATTCAGTGTTCGCTCTTCTGCTTTCGTCAGTGACCATTCGTCTGTCATTCAACTTTTTAGTAGCGCAGGATATATTAGCATTTTGTATGTTCCGGTATTTGCACAGGGTGACGTTTGTCATTTTGTGTGTGTGTCTGTGCGTGTGTGTGTAAAACAAACACTAAGCTTCCTCCTGTATTGCATTTTAATCATAAGTAGGAGAGAACCATTGATAGGATGGCAATACTGTCACTCTCGGCACCTGTGCTTCTCGGTCCCCACGATCAGCAGCGGCGGCAGCAGCAGCGCCCATCCTGTAAATCGTTTTCTGCCGTTCTTTTTTATTATTATTCCTTTGATGGTCCGATTTTTACACCATATTCGAGGTAATTTTTCAGTTTCTCTCTTCCAAATTTTTAAATATTTGCTTTACTTTTTCTGGATTTCATGGGTTCACGAATTTTGTATGCCCTTCATATTTTGATTTGCTCGAAGAAAAAAACTCTATTCGCAGTCCGAATAACAATAGCGCTTTTATCAGCAAATCAATCAGTTTTCAGCGAATCGATTAATTAGTTTTAATTTCTGAGAACTGTCTATTTGGACCAATCCTTTGTATGGGGCCGTGCTTCTAGTAATTGATATCAAGTACCACTCCCCACAAAAATCTGTTGAGCCAAGCTTTAAAGGGGTCTGAGAATCGAACTGTTATGATTTCTTAAATCTAAAGTTCAAAAATTAATAAATAATGATCTCCGTGGTAAATCTGCTTTCTGCCTATCTGTCGATTCACAAATCCATGTGACTCACCACTTGTTCTCTTTAACTACTAAACAAATTCAAAGCAAATTTTGTGCTGAAAAAAATTTTTTACCGTTTTTCGCAACTATTGTTTTGAGTCCCATAGATTCGGACTTTCGAGTTGGCATATGCCACTTGAAGACGGGTGTTTGCGGGGAATATTTTCCCCTTTTCGATAAATTTGCTATAAGATACTGGCTGCTTTCACCGGTTGACAATAGAACGAGCACGCCATGTCCTGCACATCGAATTTCACTTTCTCGCGTAATCGCAGTGATATCTTGTAAGCCGTTCATCTTACGGAGAGTCTGATTACTTATATAGTTGTAGAGAGACAGTGCAAGCTTCCTGGGTTCCAAAGTTCTAATTTTTAATAATAGTCCTCATTAATAATGCGCTAATCATCGAATTCAGAAATGTTTAATAACCCTTTTCCCTTAAAAAATGAAGAGGTTCTGTAGGTAAACTATTTGTCCTCCCGAAATCGAGTCCATTCTTCTTACTTCTTGTCTCCCTCCCCTTAGTCCTACTTCCTTCCAGCTGGACCGGTGCCGTGTACACAGCTACTTGGTTTTGCCTTTTGTTTCTTATCTCTTCAGCATTTGATATTGTTCACATGACTGGTTGGAATGCTGAACATTCATATCGGAAACATTTACAGACTAAACAGCACTATCATTGAACATTTTTTCCGCTTGAAATACAGCTGGAATATTTGCATTGAGACATGAAGGATGATAATGAGTTGAAAGCGACAGATTAATAAATACTTGATGCACTGCGACATGAAGGATAATGTTGACTTGAGAGCAATAAATACCTCATACTTGAAACGGCTATTGGTTTACCACTGAATCGTATTCAAAGCGTCGTAGTATAGGCGAAAATCCAGTAGTAGTATAGACGAAAATCATGCCTTTTCTCCACTTCATGGTTGTTTTGAGCAATGCTGCGTCGCTTGTGATGATCAGACTTCTGGCGATTTTGGCGTTCCTTTTTTCCAATGAAGGGGATGCTGACTTAATGATTCTCCCGACAGAAACACTTTGGCAAGACTTTAGCCACTTGGAGATTCAACGATACGTGTTGAGTTTCACGATTCATCTTTTTTTTGCATTGCGGTACCTTGCCGTTTGGAATGTTTTTTGTATATTTTTGCATATATGCAAATGCATAAACGCATATTGTGATGATTCATAGCTTCTGAGCGCATTGTTTTACATCTTTAGCAGCGATAGCAAGAGTTTAGGAGTAGTTGGTAGTCATATCTGTTTGTCCACTATGCAAATGAATGACCAGAATTCTAGCAGTAAATGAAGGACGCTACTCGTTCATTTAATACAGCAGCACTGCAGTGGTCACTATTAGGCTCCATACGCCTCCAAATTCCTGCCCGATGGTCTTCATCGCGTACAGTCATCGTCTGATTAGTGATCCTTTTCCAGCTTTTAGCTTTCTATCCTTGTCGTTGACCAAGCTTTGCGTTCTTAAGTTGTTAGCTTCAGCACTATGCGATAAAGCGGTACGCACCACTCCGGGGGTGATTCATTTACAAATGTCGGTGATTCTGTGGAATATTTGTTCACGGCATCCGCGAAGAAAAAAAAACCTCTCGTTGCGTACCGATCCGAGGCTATTCGCTGCATAATTCTGATGTGAAAGCATTTGCATAACACCTCGTTGTTATCACCTTTCGGTGCACATCGTTTCGTTTGATCTCTCGAATCGAAGCCACTGGATCAATTTTAATCAAATTCATTGCCGGAAGATTTTCATGGTTTTCGGTGAGAATACAAATTTCATTGTTAGGGAAGCAAAATTGTTCGAAATTCAATTTCAATTTATTTTCTAGCTATTCTGTCTTTCCGTTCTTTTTTATATTTTTATATTTGATTTCGATTTACTTTGTTTGTTTAGCCCAGTGAATACAGAAAAGATTTTCTTTGCTCTAAAGTTAGCATCAAAATCCTTTCCGTTTTACTTTCTATGAGAAACGAAAAAGTCAGGAAAGTACCTCGAATGGTTAACAAGTACAATCACCGGCTGGCAAGCCTGTACCGGTGGCTGTTATCAAAAGCTGTTTACAAGCAAGTTGAGCATACGCCAGTACATATTTATCATTGAAACGAATGAACAAGTTGTAGAGAAACTGGTTCTCCTGTAAGCGGCTTCTGCGGCTTCTGCCTTTTTTTTTGTATTTCTTTGCAAAACGCTTTTTCTTATTTAACCCAGTAAGCAATAGGGGAAAGGCTTTTTACGCTAAAAGTTGACAGAAACTTGATTTTTTCTGTAAAAGTTTGGCCCACACTATCAATATATAGTTCTATCACTACGAGCTAACTGAAAACAGTATAATACTGAGCCTGGTCTTAAGAACTGCATGCCCATATTCTCATCTACATAGAAGCTTTCATTTATTTGCTGAATTTCAATTTAATATCAAAAATTGGGGAGGAATTTGTTCATTATCCACCGGCCAAAGACTGTTTTTCGTTGCATTTTTCCATCAGAATCCGACTAT